CCCTTCTCTGGTTGGTCTGGGTCTTTTTCCCTTCTCCCCAGGAGACAGAGTGGCAGAGGGTGTGGCCATTAGATGGGCTACACCTGGTGTGTCCTGAGTGCTGCTCTTTGTAAACGGCTGGTTGGTGACCAGGTTCCTGGTTTGTTGCGGTCTTTGTTTTTTGGATAGTCTTTGGAGACATGCACCACCTTTTGGGACAGACACACTTCACCCATGTCCACACACTCACTCACTACACTACTGACCTCACTGACGTACATATACATATTGTGACTTGTGACAGTGAATATTGTTTAATTAAACTTCTTTTTGTTTTGAACATTTACAATCTCTGTGTGGTCTCCCTTCTTTGTCATAATCCTAGAGCAGGTTCATGACAATTGGCACTTCTTTACTGGTTATGATCAATCGGCAGATTGGCATTAAAGGAATCACACTTTAAGGTTTAGGTCATACTTATCAGATCGTTCTCAGTTTGTACATGTTAACGATGAATCTTCAATAAATACTACAGTTAGTCATGGAGTTCCACAAGGTTCTGTACTTGGACCAATACTATTTACTTTATATATTCTTCCTTTAGACAACATTATTAGGAATCACTCCATTAACTTTCATTGCTATGCAGAAGATACACAGTTATATCTATCGATCAAGCCCGATGAAATTAATCAATTATCTAAATTACAAACATGTCTTAAGGACATAAAAACCTGGATGAGCTGCAATTTTCTGATGTTAAACTCAGAAAAAAACGAAATTCTTGTTTCCTTAGAGACTCACTGTCTAAAGATATAGTTACTCTAGATGGCATTAACTTGGCCTCTAGCACCCCTGTCAGGAATCTTGGAGTTATCTTTGATCAGGATTTGTCATTTAACTCCCACATAAAGCAGACCTCTAGGACCGCCTTCTTTCATTTACGTAATATTAGAAAAATTAGACACATACTATCACAGACAGATGCAGAAAAACTAATCCATGCATTTGTTACTTCAAGGCTGGATTACTGCAACTCTTTATTATCAGGTTGCCCCAATAAGTCCATTAAAACGCTCCAATTAATTCAGAACGCTGCAGCACGAGTACTGACAGGAACTAGAAAAAGAGATCACATCTCTCCTGTACTAGCTACTCTGCATTGGCTCCCTATAAAATGTAGAATAGAATTTAAAATCCTCCTCCTCACCTATAAAGCTCTTCATGGTCAGGCCCCTTCATATCTTAAAGGGCTCACAGTACCCTATTACCCCTCTAGAACACTACGTTCTCTGAATGCTGGGCTACTTGTGGTTCCTATAGTCTCTAAAAGTAGAACAGGAGCCAGAGCCTTCAGTTACCAAGCTCCTCTCCTGTGGAACCAGCTTCCAGTTGTAGTTCGGGAGGCAGACACCCTCACCACATTCAAGAGTAGGCTTAAGACATTCCTCTTTGATAAAGCTTATAGTTAGAGCTGGATCAGGTGAGTCCTGAACCATCCCTTAGTTATGCTGCTATAGGCCTAGACTATCGGGGGATTTCCCATGGTGCACTGAGCTACTCTCTTCCTCTCTCTTTCTGCACTCATTCATGTCCCATTAATGCATGTTACTAACTCCACTTCTTCCCCGGAGTTCTTGTGCTTTCTCGTCTCGCAGGTTCTCATGGATCCTGGTGGAGCCTCCTGCCATGGTCCTGCTTGACTGCCATTGCCAATACTGTTGTTGCTGTGCACCTGTCTGTCTGTCTCTCGCTCTCTCTCTCTCTGCCTCTCTCTCTCTCTCTCTCTCTCTCTCTCTCTCTCTCACCCCAACTGGTCGAGACAGACGACCACCCACCTAGAGCCGGAGGATCTGTCCTAGGTTTCTGCCTTTTAACAAGCAGTTTTTCCTTGCCCTTGTCTCCAAGGTCTTGCTCATGGTGGTACTGTTGGGTCTCTGTAATTAATGTTAAAGAGTTCGGTCTAGACCTGCTCTATTTGAAAAGTGTCCTGAGATAACTTCTGTTATGAATTGGCGCTATACAAATAAAATTGAATTGAATTGAATTGAATTAATAGGGAATCCAAACAGGAAGGAGAAGGTAGTGTATGGCTATTTGTTCTGTAATGAACTTCACGAAGTCTGAATCAGCCAGCAGGAGTGTGTCAAGCTGCCATGTCCGTTTTGTCCTCTGAGTCGGAAGAGTTACCTTAATACTAACCTGAGCGTGATCAGAAATAATGATTGGATCATATTTGCAATCTGTAATAACACTGAGCAGATAGGGGTCAACCAAAAAAAAATCTATCCTGGAAAATGACTGTACAGTACAGTAGAGTAATACGAATACTCCCTTTTGGTGGGATGTTTAAATCTCCATGGGTCTATAAGTTTATGTATATCTATGAACGACTGGATTGTTTGCACAGATTTAGACGGCCTTGATACAGACTGAGAAGAGCGATCCCAGACAGAATCCATCACCAGGTTGTAATCCCCAGACATAATCAAGTGATAACTATCCAGATTAGGTATGGAGCTTAGCATCTTTTTTAAAAAATCATCATCAAAGTTTGGGCAGTAAATATTAACCAATACTAAGTGAGGTTGGAACAGCTCTCCCACAACCATCACGTATCTGCCATTTTGGTCCAAGATAGTGTCTGATACAACGAAAGGAATCTTTTTATGAATGAGTATAGCTACTCCTCTACCTTTACAGTTAAATTGTGAATGAAACATCTGCCCCACCCATTCTTTGTGAATTTTAGACTGGTCTCGATTTTGAAGGTGGGTTTCCTGTAGGAAAGCAATACCAAGCCCAAGATATTGTAAGTGAGAGAGAACCCTTTTTCTTTTGATTGTCTGATTCAGACCCTTCACATTCCAGCTTATAATTTTCATGTCATCTTTACCTGGGACAAGATGTGAATTACTCTGTGTCATTAGAACCACTCAATTCAAAGATACCTGTGTCTACCCCATTTAGATGATAAAAAAGCCGGATAGGTGCACAAACTATACATAGAACAAATACCACATCAAAATTACTACATATAACACATAAACAAGCCTTAAGAAGGCTATCCCCCCCAGAAAACTTCAAACTACTGCAAACCTGCATTTGCATGCTACTCGCAGTGATGGATACCTTTTTCAACCATTGATGAACCTCTCCAACAGTGTATTAAATGACCTGTGACATCATTTCACATTATTGAAACCGTGATATCCATAGACGGTAGAAAGTCACTGTAGCGAGACCGGTGGTGATCATAAAACTAAAATAAAAAATAAAAAATGAATAAAAAATAAAAAAATAAATAAAGCATTTAGGAGGGCCTACACATGTAGCGTTACGTGTGATGTGTACACACACCTTCACACACAAAACGTTCACTGCCACTATGAACAATGCTAATAAAATAATACTATAAAAATAGAAAATACTGTCAGAAATTATGGCAGAATAACCATATCTAATGATACCACCATCTCTTTTAAGTGGTTATTGGCGTCATTGACCCAATCATCAACGTTACCTCAATCACCATTCTCTGCAGTGTGTAAGGCGTTGCGTCCGTTATCAACAATAGCATTGTTATTAATGTAGGTCAGCGCCTCCACAGGGTCGGTGAACTTCATACGTTTCCCGTTGTGTGTGAACTGCAGAGTGGCTGGGTAGTAGAGGCCGAACCGACTCGGAGAAGGCTGTGCGTCGTTTGTTGACATCTGGGCTGTAGTCTGGAAAGAAGTGAAATCTTGATCCGCTGAAGGAGAGCGGGCCCTTCTGCCTGGCGAGGCGTAAGATCAACTCTTTGGTTTGAAAGTGATGGAGCTAGACAATGAATGGCCATGGTCTATTGTCGCCATCAGCTGGTTTTGGGGTCAAACTCCTGTGGGCTCTATTCACCGACGGCGGCTTCTCAAAACTGTCTTCCCCAAGCACATCGATGAGAAGTTTGGTGATGAATTCTGTTGGTCGCGGGTCCTCCGCATTTTCTGATATCCCCACAATGCGTATATTCTGCCGTCTAGTGTAGTTTTCCAAGTACGCCACCTTCTTCCTCAAAGCACCGTTCTCTTTAGCTAGAGAAGTTTGGGAAGCTTCCACGCTGCTCAGTCTCTTGTCGAACTCAGTCAGCCCGTCCTCCATATCAGTAATTCGTTGGCCATACAAATTCAGGATCGAGTGTAAAGAAGCAATAGACGCCCGGTTCTCCTCCCGAAACGTGTTGATAGAGGCTTGCACAGCAGTAACTGCATTTGCCAGCGCGTCCATGTTATTAGCATTAGCACCTGTTTCTGCGCTAACGCTAGCCGAGAAGTTCTAATCGCCCTGTGTTGTGGCTTTCCCACTTTGTTGTTTGGCCGGTTTGGGAGGCATTCATCCACTCATAAGGTAGTAAAGTCACTTAGTGTGTGTTTCCAACGGAGTTTGAAGGGTTACGAGGTCCAAAATGTATAAATTTGATAGATTTCTGCGGGAGCTGTGGAAGACACGTTTACTCACTACTCATGCTCAAACGCGCCCCCCTCTAGGTTTCTGCCTTTTAACAGGCAGTTTTTCCTTGCCCTTGTCGCCAAGTGCTTGCTCATGGTGGTACTGTTGGGTCTCTGTAAATAATGTTATAAAGAGTTTGGTCTAGCCCTGCTCTATTTGAAAAGTGTCCTGAGATAACTTCTGTTATGAATTGGCGCTATACAAAAAAAAATTGAATTGAAATTGAATTGTGAAGTGAAGCTAATGAGAAAGTGTCTTAAACCTGCCTTTTGGAGAATTGTTTTGTGTTCATTTATGAGCTCAGTAAACCAGTTTCCAAATTAGTTTAGGGTCTTTGTTACGGTATGATGTTAATTTAATAAATTATGATCCCATTTAGAGTAAAAAATACGATAAAGCAGTGTATGCTTTAGGGTGTTGCTACCCCAAACCAAGAGCAGCCAATAGGAGCAGCTCAACTTGTGGTATATCACTCCCAAACTGGAGGCTTGAAACGGGACTCCACAAACCAATGGGTGACGTCACGATAGGTTCTCACTTGTTCGACTGCCTCTTGCTGGAGATTAGAAAGAATGCAAGTTTAAGACCCTTCCACATTGGCTTCATTTCACATACCTGGAACTCTGTCCATTAATTATATACTGTCAATGGTTTAAACTGAGATAATCTGTCAAAGTTACTAACAGTAATCAATCCGAAACATGAAATAACATCAGCTTGAAACAAGTAACAACAGGAGGTTTGATAATGAGGTCAGCCTGTTGCTGTGGGTGATTCCTGACTTGAAAAGGTTAAAAGGAACCAGAAGCAGAGTTTGAGCTCAGGTAGGAGGGACTCACAGTAGACAAATATTAGGATTTAGACAATCTCATTAACTGTAATAGTTATTATGATTTTCACTTAGTTTGAGGAATTGGCCACATTTATTGTTCAGTATTAATGTATTTATTGTCAGTAAACTGCTGTTATGTGCTAATACCGCTGCTTATTCAAACTTAATAATAATAATAATAATAATAATAATAATAATCTTGTTCTGCACTGTTTAATAGCTTAATTTATTTATTTTCTCCTCTTCTTTCAGCTCTTCATGGAAGCCACAAAATGTTTTCAGTGAGTGTAGTAATAGAAATATACTAGATGTCTTTATGTCTTGGTATCTCTGGAACATTTATAGTCTCCACTAAAGTTTAAAAGCGAGTAATGTAGCTTTGATCAAAAGTGTTTGTATTGTCTGTACAAGAGGTTTAATTATCCTGTAAATCATGATTAACTCTACACCTGTTTCATATTTCACTCTTGCTGCTTACTTTGACACCGGCGTTTTAAAATACTTATATTTCCTGATTATAATGTCTTTATATGTTTTTATAGTTTGTGGAAATTCTTTGCTCATTGTGATTATCTGTATGAACAGAAGCTTACATGAACCTATGTACATATTTCTGTGCAGCCTGTTTGTAAATGAACTGTATGGTAGTACAGGGTTGTTTCCAATGCTTCTGGTTCAGATTCTCTCTGACATTCACACTGTTTCTGCTTCATTTTGTTACCTGCAGATTTTTTGTGTGTACACATATGCAAGTATACAATTTAGTAATTTAGCTGTCATGTCTTATGACAGATATCTCGCTATCTGTTGTCCTCTACAATATAACACACTTATGACATCTAACAACATTGCCATTCTTATCACTCTAACATGGTTATACCCATTTCTTGCTATTTTTATTTTAATATCTTTGAGTGTTCCTCTACAACTGTGTGGGAACATCATTAACAAAGTGTACTGTGACAACTACTCCATTGTCAAACTGGCCTGCTCCAACACAACAGTCAATAATATCTATGGAATAGTTTACACTTTTACAACAGTTATTCTTGTACTTTTAATATTTTACACTTACATGAAGATCCTTAAAGTTTGTTTTTCTGGTTCCAAACAGACCAGACAAAAAGCTGTCAGCACCTGCACACCTCACCTTGCTTCTCTGCTCAACTTTTCCTGTGGCTGTTTCTTTGAAATAGTGCAGAACAGATTTGATATGAAACGTGTACCAAATATGTTGCGCATTTTTTTATCATTATACTGGCTTACATGTCAGCCAGTCTTCAATCCTGTAGTCTATGGACTGAATATAACCAAAATACGCATTACATGTAAAAGTGTGGTGTTCGGTAAAATGTAACTTCTTACAATCTGTCTGAACCTCTTTTAACATTTATTTAAATGTATAATATACAACATGGAATCATTAAACAGAATATAAACTCTAGAGCTATGTTCTATGTGTAGTTGATTTAATCAATAATCTCTAATCATTAAACAGTGTATAAACTCTAGCTCTATGTTCTATATGTAGTTGATTTGAGTTCTTCCATTATCCCAAATGTTTCCAACAATGTTCAAACACAGAGAAATTTGTCATTTTATTCAGGTAACATGCGTTTCACTGGTTGCCTGTCAATGGTGTCATATCCCCTTTGTGTCTGCGTCAGCGTTGTGGTTGTCTGCCAGAAGCTGTCATACATTGACTGTTTATCCTGTTTTAAAGGTCCAGTGTGTAACATTTAGGAGAATCCATTGTCAGAAATGTAATATAATATCCATAGGTATGTTTTCATTAGTGTACCCTGAAGTCACCTGAAAATAAGAATCATCTTTATTCACAGATGCCACTGGTTGCCCGCTGGGACACATATTGAACCACCATGTGTAAGTGGTGGGCTTCTGTGTTGTGTTAGTGTGATAGAGAAGACACCGGGATCTGTTTTATGGCAAACCTCTGTTTGTTCTGATAAACAAATAGAGAAACAGAACCTCCATGTCAGCTCTACTGCGTGCTCCAGCTCTGACACACATAAAAAAAATTACCAGGCGGAAGTTAGCTTAGTGTGCCACAACTAAGCTAGCAGCACTCACATTCACAATTTTTAAGTGACAATGAAGAAATATATTTTAACAATGTAGGTAACCAAAATAACAACAAGAAACTACAATAAATAATGGGATGGATTAGGATAATGGATGGCCGCATTTTTCATGGCCATTGTAGTTTCTCCCTCACACTTGGTAAGGGAGGATGAAGCGAGTGAGTTCAATTCAATTCAATTCAATTCAATTTTATTTGTATAGCGCCAATTCATAACAGAAGTTATCTCAGGACACTTTTCAAATAGAGCAGGTCTAGACCGAACTCTTTAACATTAATTACAGAGACCCAACAGTACCACCATGAGCAAGCACTTGGCGACAAGGGCAAGGAAAAACTGCCTGTTAAAAGGCAGAAACCTAGGACAGATCCTCCGGCTCTAGGTGGGTGGTCGTCTGTCTCGACCAGTTGGGGTGAGAGAGAGAGAGAGAGAGAGAGAGAGAGAGAGAGAGAGAGAGAGAGAGCGACAGACAGACAGACAGGTGCACAGCAACAACAGTATTGGCAATGGCAGTCAAGCAGGACCATGGCAGGAGGCTCCACCAGGATCCATGAGAACCTGCGAGACGAGAAAGCACAAGAACTCCGGGGAAGAAGTGGAGTTAGTAACATGCATTAAAGGGACATGAATGAGTGCAGAAAGAGAGAGGAAGAGAGTAGCTCAGTGCACCATGGGAAATCCCCCGATAGTCTAGGCCTATAGCAGCATAACTAAGGGATGGTTCAGGACTCACCTGATCCAGCCCTAACTATAAGCTTTATCAAAGAGGAATGTCTTAAGCCTACTCTTGAATGTGGTGAGGGTGTCTGCCTCCCGAACCACAACTGGAAGCTGGTTCCACAGGAGAGGAGCTTGGTAACTGAAGGCTCTGGCTCCTGTTCTACTGTTAGAGACTATAGGAACCACAAGTAGCCCAGCATTCAGAGAACGTAGTGTTCTAGTGGGGTAATAGGGTACTATGAGCTCTTTAAGATATGAAGGGGCCTGACCATGAAGAGCTTTATAGGTGAGGAGGAGGATTTTAAATTCAATTCTACATTTTATAGGGAGCCAATGCAGAGTAGCTAGTACAGGAGAGATGTGATCTCTTTTTCTAGTTCCTGTCAGTACTCGTGCTGCAGCGTTCTGAATTAATTGGAGCGTTTTGGAGTTGCAATCTGCAACTACACCACTAGATGCTACTCAATCCTACACACTGGACCTTTCAGCCACATTTTTACCTAAACCTATTTTTTAGATCTTGCTGGTTTTTAACTCTAGATTTGAACCGGATGAAGGATTTTAGTCATCTGACGTCTGGATCTTAAGTTATCAGAGAAACAAGCTGAGCTAACGTTAGCAGCAGCTCGGCTCATAACTAATGTTATGTTATATAATCAAGTCTGTTGACTCTGCTGATTAAATTATAACTCTTTTGAAAGACTTGTTCTTTCACATCTAATCTGTGTTATAGTGTACCATGCTCCTGGTCCATGCTCTGATTTCGACACTCAACTGTATTGCCCCTCTAAATACAATCTATGTTTAAATATATTAAAACATAGGAGGCTAGCACCGGTACAACCACCAAATACGCCAATTAAAGCAAAAGGTGTGGAAATTTTCAAAGGAATTGATGTTCTACCAAGGTGGAAGAATCCTGTTTAATCTGGCAAGATAGTCTGAAATCATATAGAAAGGCCCTCTGTAATGTCAGAGACAGCACCGCTGAAAGTTATGTGCATCAGATAATGGACTTCAGAACTTAGTGCTGCATTTGACACCACTGACCATCATGTTCTATTACAGAGACTTGAGCATCTAATTGATATTAAAGGAACTGCAGTAAACTGGTTTAAGTCATATTTATCAGATCACCTTATATGTGCTTCCCTTAGGCAACATTATTAGGAATTACTCCGTTAACTTTCACTTTTAATGGAGTGTTGTGCAATTACTAGAACACTGCGCTCTATGAATGCAGGGCTACTTGTGGTTCCTATAGTCTCCAAAAGTAGAACAGGTACCCAGGTACCCCTAGAGAGGTCATCACGTCTTTGCATCCATAAGCATCTCAGAATGGTAATCATAGTCTCTTATATACCACACTCCTACGTAGGTTTTCTGCCTCGTTTCTTGTTACCCCAGATGAAAATCTGCAACTTGGACATGGGCACAAAACTGGCTACTTCCCTCCTATAAACAAGCATTTATAGATACTCCATCAATTGTAGAACAATACAGTTTTCACTTATTGAGCCAGCTTTCCACCACTTTGTTTTCCTGTCTTTTTAGTGATTCACTGATGGAATTAGTGATGTGTCGTTTGAGAACTAGTGAACAATGGGAACCAGCCAATTTCTTTTTTTCCTATAAATTAATACGACACAGACTAATAGGATGGTCCTATATTTGTTAAAATTGTTGGAAAAATACTTGGACAGAAGTTCGTGAACAGCCTTTGCGAGATTTAACCCTAACCCTAACCCTAACCCAATCCAGAAACTGTCTCCCTTTGGTAATAACATTGAGCATGATGAAACTTTTTTATGTTGTGCTGGTCATATAAACAAATATTTCAATAGCCATTTGTAATAGTATTTAATAAGTTATATTTAAGGTTTTTATAACAAGCATACTGTAATGATGGTGTTCTGGAAATGATAAGGTTTGGTATACATATAACCTATATTAAACCAGGAAGTCCCTTCTCTACAGCACACAAGATTGCGAGACAAGTAGCAATGAGTCCATAAATGTTATTGACTGTTGTGTCAGAACATGCCTGTTTGACAATGGAGTAGTTGTCACAGAAAACTTTGTTAATGATGTTCCCACACAGCTGTAAAGAGGCACTCAAAGATATCGTGACAACAGTTGAAAGAAGAGGGAATAACCATCATAGAGAAATGAGAATGGTAACTTTGTTGGATTAATAAAGTCTATCTATCTATCTATCTATCTATCTATCTATCTATCTATCTATCTATCTATCTATCTATCTATCTATCTATTGTTGTATAGAATTTATAGTATTATTTTATTGTTTTCATATCATTTAGGCTAAAAAAATACATATTAGGCTTCATTACTTTTAACAGTAATTTACCTTTTACCAAAGACAATGTTTTTATATAAGCCACGTATTTTAGTCATTTGCAGTCCATACAGTACAGGGTTAAAGAGTGGTTGACAGGTGATAAAGTATGATGACAAAAAAATGCGCAACATGTTCGGTACACTGTTCATATTAAATCTTCCCTGTGCAACTTCAAAGAAACAGCCAAAAGAAAAGTTCAGGAGAGAAGCAAGGTGAGGTGTGCAGGTTCTGACAGCTTTTTGTCTGGTCTGTTTGGAACCAGAAAAACAAACTTTAAGAATCTTTACATAAGGGTAAAGGATTAAAATTACAACGCCAAGTACAATAGTAAATGTGTAAACAATTCCATAGATGTTAATGACTGTTGTGTCTGAACATGCCAGTTTGATGATGGAGTAGTTGTCACAATACACTTTGTTAATTAAGTTCCCACACAGCTGTAAAGAGGCACTCAGAGAAATCACAACAACAATAGCAAGAAAAGGAAATAACCATGATAGAGCAATAAGAATGGCAACCTTATTAGATGTCATACGTGTGTTATATTGTAAAGGGTAACAGATAGCGAGATATCTGTCATAAGACATGACAGCTAAGTTACTAAATTCTACATTTGCATACGAGTACAAACAGAAAATCTGCAGGAAACAAAATGAAGCAGGAACAGTGTGAATGTCGGAGAGAATCTGAACCAGAAGCATTGGAAACAACCCTGTACTACCATACAGTTCATTTACAAACAGGCTGCACAGAAATATGTACATAGGTTCATGTAAGCTCCTGTTCATACAGATAATCACAATGAGCAAAAGATTGGCACACATGATTAAAATATATAATAACATAACAATCATGAAAAATAAATATCTGAAAATCCCGATGTCAAAGTAGGAAGAAAGTGTGAAATATGAAATCTGTGTAGAGTTTACCATGATCCTCCAGTTAGACTGTGCCCAGGAGGGACTGCTTTCAATGAATACTGTACATTTTGTTGCAGGTTTTTAAATTATGACAGTCAAATGTATGCTTATATCAGTTCGCAGAACACAATTTGTGCTTTGTGTATCCTAAAAGCTATCTGCTGTACTGATGTAGTCAGTCTGTCCTCACTGAGATGAAACTCTGCTTCTGTTTCTTTTAAACCTTTCACAGCAACAGTCATGACGTAAGACTGTTGTCAGCAAAACAAGGAAGAGTTCATGCTACTAACAATTAGTAATTGTGAAAATGTGTTCCCATTTGGTGACATGTATGTAATATCCTTACATGATCCTACTATGCATGTATGTTGTGTACATACACATGTTGGGACTACTGGGACCTTTAAAAAATAAACTTGTTCATTTTGTGATTCCACATGAGCTTTATTATTACAGTAATTTCCTGTGACCTCTTACAGAAAAAACTAATGACCGGAGACCCCAAGATTATGTGGTGACCATCCAGAATAAAACCTTAAATAAAATGTATGTACATACATATAAGTTCAAAAGTTTGGAATCACCTGTACTAGTGATGTTTTTTTCCTTCAACAAGCTATTTTAACAGATAAAACAGTAAAACGCTGCTTTGTTCGCCACTTATTTTTCTTTTTCATTTAGCTCCCTCTGCTGGGAGTTTTGTATAGAAGTGAGTGATTCTCAACCAAGGTACATGTACCTCAGTGGGTACGGCTGTTGCCAGGGGGACGTGGAGAGATTGTAGAGTGTCTCAACCAACTTTCATAATTTAAGTATTCATTAAAAAAGTCCACATATTGAGCCAGCTCTAACAATTATTTTAGACATTATTTCAATTAAGATTGCGTGGGAACTAGTTAGCAAGCAAGCAGATGAGATTAAATAATTAGCTAAAAGCAATGGCTGAATGGTTGGAATATCCAGCTTTTGCCACTTCCTGTGGTTATAGTAAGAATGCAAGTGGAAAGTGGAGGAACTGTATGTCTGTTGTTATACATTCATGGCCTCAAAGTAGGGCAGGAGAACCTTCAGAGTATGGTTAACTGCTCTCAATTCCAAGATGTTGGTTTGGTCTCCCCCATATGGGTGTTTCCACGCACTGTGAACCATCCTGCCTTCCCAGACTGCTCCCCTACCTGACGGGTGAAAGATTGTGCCATTGACCTGCTTCCTTGTACACCTCTCCCTTGCAGTTACTTCTATAACCTCTCCAGGCTGGAGCAGGAAGATATGGAGACATACATCAAGTACTTCCTTGCTGCTTCCTCCATCCGTAAATCGACTTCAGAGGACAAAACAACACAATGGTGAAAAACAAATACCACTTGCCCCTCATCAACTATGCCTTCAATACTCTTAAGGTAGCAAATGTGTTCAAGTCCCACGGGTGGATTATGCCCACAACACTCCACCAACGTCTGCTACAGGTATGTCAACGTTCTAGTGCTTCTGTGGTTACCAACCTCCACTCTTCAAGTCTGAGGAAAAGGACACTATGGTTCCATAGGTCCAAGCCAGCATACCTCGGTGCCTCAAGATATGGCACACAAAGTTTAGTCAGTTCTGGCTTGTTGAAATATTTTGGCCAGATTATTTTGTTAATTGACAAAAGGAGTCTTAGTTGACACTCTTTTCCTTAGTCAGATTTTTTTAGGGCATTGGTTCAAGACCCACAGACCACAGTATGGAGTGTGGACTGGTAGCTGGAGAGGTGCCAGTTTTACCTCCTGTGCACTGCTGAGGTGCCCTTGAGCAAGGTACCCAACCCCAAGAAACGGCTCATGGGGCGCTGTTAACATGGCAGCCCATCACTCCACCATCTCTCTCCATGTCTGCATGTCCACAAGCCTTGCATGTGTGTGCACATGCTTTTTATTATTTTAATAAAGTAAATCTTATCTTATCCATCATCCACTGTATTGATAAGTCCGCCATGATTTGTTTTTATTTAAGTTGGAAGTTATTTATTACGTGTTTTGAACAACCAGACTGCATAATGTTACACTGTGTTGGAATAAATGAACTAAAGGTTAGTTAGTTACACACTTAGGTTAGTATGGCTGGGATAGGAGATTTTGTTGCTGCTCCGAGTGAGGGGTTTCTAGATCGTTGCACTAAGGATCACCTTCTAAAGATTGCAGAAGAATATGACATTGATCTAAGTGGGATAGGTGATAGATGATGTAAGGAGAATGTAAAGCATATGGTAAAACTGCAGTTAGTCGAGAAAGAGGTAGTGGTGGCTAAGCAAGAGGGGGTCCATCGCTATCTGCACAGTCACTTTTGTCAGGCAACTTAACCTTTGAGCAGAGAACAGAATTGCTTTTATTGCAGTTTTCTCATGATAAAGAGAAAACAGAGTTGGAACTAGAAAGGCAAAAGATTGAGATAGGAAAGCATAAGTTGAGGAGGAGAGAGCAGAAAGATAGCATTGGAAACTGCTAAGAGATGGTAAGCTTTCTGGGGATGTGTTGCGACGGGAAGAAAGTTCCTCTTTGCGGTCAGGGTCACCAGTTGTTGTTAGTAATTTGCGTCTCTTGCCTAAATTTAATGAGCGGGATCCAGATGTGTTTTTCTCTCTTTGATTTGGTCAGACTCTGAGCAGGTTTTGTTGTTGCAGTGTGTGTGTTGTCAGGAAAAGCACAGGAAGCCTATGCGTCATTAAGTAGCAATAATCTAACTTATCAATCAGTCAAGGCTGCTGTACTGAAGGCGTATGAGTTAGTTCCAGAAGCATATCGTCAGCGATTTAGGATGTGGGGAAAAAAGGGTTAGTCAGTCTCATATGGAGTTTTCAAGGGAGATGACTAATCATTTCAATCGTTGGTGTATGGCTTCTGATGTTGACAACTTTGTGTAACTTGGTCTTCTTAGAGCAGTTTAAAAACTCTCTGCCCAGTCAGGTTGCCACATACATTAATGAACGTAAGGTTACAATTGTTGCTGAGGCTGCAGCATTGGCTGATGAGTATGTACTTATTCATAAACATCGACCCAGTGAGCCTTTGCGGGAGCCTGTGGTAGGAACAGATGGTAGTGCCTGGTCGACTTGGGGCCTTTTCAGGTAAAGGGTCCTGTGGAGTACCTGAAAAAGGGACAATGTGTGCAATTACTGTCATCAGGCAGGCCACTGGAAGGCAGACTGCCCGATGCTCAGGGCTAAGAAGCAGCATGCTGGAGGTGGTCATGTAAAACCTGCTGCACTGGCTGCAAGCGTTCCTGGTTCTGTGAATGTGGGCATGTAGCAAGGTAGGAATGCAGATTTTTGCATGGCTCGTGTTCTTGAGGAGTCCTATCTGCCATTTGATAGAGATGGGTTTGTAGTGATACCAAGGTTAGCGAGGAAGTAGGTGCCCCATGGTGAGGATTTTGTTTGGGGTCCCATTTTTCAAGTTGTAGTTCCATGCAAATGTTGCAGTCATGTGTTAGGGCTTGCTCATGATGGGTCAGGGCACATAGGCATCCGGAAAACATATGACAGGATTTTGTGCCATTTTATTTTGCAACGACTAAAGAAGGATGTTTCTGTACATATTAAAAACGGTTAACTGGTAAGCCCAATCAGGTCATTAAACCCGCTCTGCTGCAGCCAATTCCAGCTATCAGGCAACCATTTGAGTACTTGATTATTTAATGTGTGGGGCCAGTTTTTGCTAACAGTTATGTGTCAAAGCACTAAATATCAAGCAGCTTATCCTTTGCGCACAATTACTGCAAAGTCTGTGGTTAGGGCGCTGACACAATTTATATCTGTGTTTGGCATACCCAGAGTCATTCAGAGTGACCAGGGTTCTAACTTTTCTTCGCATCTTATGGCCCAAGTGTCAAAGCTGCTAGGAATCAGACATAACCAGTCATCTGCTTATCATGCTCAAAGTCAAGGTGCTTTGGAGTGTTTTCACCAAACACTCAAGTCTTTGTTGCGTGCATATTGTACAGAGATGTATGGGGACTGGGAGGAGGGGCTACCATGGTTTCTTTCAGCTGCATGAGAGGTCTTGCAGGAAAGTACGGGGTTTAGCCCAAATGATCTGGTGTTCTGACACCATTAGGGGTCCACTGTCTGTGTTTAAGGATGGGTTAAAGGAGTCAGATCCGCCGACCAATCTTATTGACTATGTCAATGAGTTTAGGCATCGTCTATATGCTGCAGGGGAGTGTTTGTGACACCTTTCATACAATTCTACTGACAATAGCTCTATAATTATACTAAGTTACAATGGACAGGGCAGATACAGGACACAGGTCTGTACTGCTTATTTGATTCAAATAATAGTAGCAATGATATAATTGTTATAGAGGTCAGTGCTGTAGACACAAGTTAGAGGACAGTGCTGTAGCTACAGGGCAGAGGTCAGTGTTGTAGATACAGGGCAGAGGTCAGTGTTGTAGCTACAGGGCAGAGGTGAGTGTTGTACCTACATGGCAGAGGTCAGTGTTGTAGATACCAGGTAGGTATAGGTCTATACTGTCTATTTGATGAATAGTAACAATAAGGATATTATTAACAAAAATGAGATTATGAATATTAACTTTATTTCGTAAGTAACAGTTTTGTTCTTTTTATTCTTCATACAGTTTTTGGACCGCATCTACTCTACCACATTGTTGCAGATAGACAAGTAATTGAGATTTTCACCTTTGTTATATGTTACAGTTATTGAAATAAGAATATTTTAAAATATACTATAAATGCTGAAGTCATCCAACGTGGTACACAGATTCCCCATGGAGATGTGCTAAACATATTGAAACATATATTCAATAGTGCCACCATGTGGTCTGTTATTAAACTTTTCAAATTCCAAAACTTTAATAAACCTTAAAAACTAAATTCTTTTCAGTGTATCCACTGATGTGAACAACTTGTCACTTCAATCTGTGTTCTATTCAGAAGTCCATCACTCTATATTTTGTTTTAAATATGCAAAATTAACGTCTACACCGATCAGTCATACAATTATGACAACCTGTGGTCATAATATAATGCAGACCCATATCAACAAACTTCTCTGCACTGTGTGTTCTGACCCCTTTCTATCAGAACCAGCTTTAACTGTTTCAGCAGTTTGAGTTCCAGTAGCTCGTCTGTTGGATCGGACCACACGGGCCAGCCTTCACTCCTCACGTGCATCAATGAGCCTCGGCCCCCCATGACCCTGTCTCCAGTTCTGTTCCTTCCTCGGACCACTTTTGATAGGCACTGACCTTTGCAGACCTGGAACACCCAAAAATTCAAACCAACGTTGATCTAGATATTTTACATCATCATTTAATTTATTTTGACTCGAAATTAAAAATATATATATTATCATCAAATCATCCATGTTTTACATAGTATTGAATTATATTTATATCATATAATTAAGCAGTAGTTTAGATTTTACCAAAGACAATGTTTTTACATAAGCCACATATTTTAGACATTTGCAGTCCATACAGTACAGGGTTAAAGAGTGGTTGACAGGTGACGAAGTATGATGACAAAAAAATGTGCAACATGTTCGGTACACTGTTCATATTAAATCTGGCCTGCACAACTTCAAAGAAACAACCAAAAGAAAAGTTCAGGAGGGAGGCAAGGTGAGGTGTGCAGGTACTGACAGCTTTTTGTCTGGTCTGTTTGGAACCAGAAAAACACACTTTAAGAATCTTTACATAAGGGTAAAGGATTAAAATTACAACGCCAAGTACAATAGTAAATGTGTAAACAATTCCATAGATGTTAATGACTGTTGTGTCTGAACATGCCAGTTTGATGATGTTCATACAGATAATCACAATGAGCAAAACATTGGCACAAAGAGTTAAAATATATAATAGCATAACAATCATGAAAAATAAATATCTGAAAATCCCGATGTCAAAGTAGGCAGAAAGTGTGAAATATGAAATCTGTGTAGAGTTAACCATGATCCTCCAGTTAATATCTTTACATATTACTGTACATTCTGTTGTAGGTTTTGCTATATGATTAATTGTCGAATTTCTCACTGTCAACAATCTAACAATATTCACTCTGCTAGCAGTTAAGAAATTACTTTCAATAAACAAATGAAAATGACAATTTAACTATACTTACCTATTCTATTATTGAAAGTCAGTATAAGCCATGCTCAGAGATCACAGAACACAATTTATGGCACTGTGTGAGTCCTAAGAACTATCCGCTGATGTAGTCAGTCCCTACTCACTGAGATGAAACTCTGCTTCTTCTTCTTTTAAACTTTTCATAGCAACAGTCATGACGTAAGACTGTTGTTAGCAATACAAGTTCAAGCTACTAACAATTAGTAATATTGAAAAGATAGGTCAGTAGAAACAAATAAAGAGATTCCTTTCGTCCCCATTTGTTTAAATTACATGACATATGATTTAAATTTACCTCTGTACCAGTTGTGGCACAAAGACAGTCAGAGGAAACTCACATGGTCGACATGTGAAAAATTGTGACAGAAGCAGATTGATATGAATGTGGTCCTCGTTGGATGTGGCAGACTTACAGACTGAGGCCAAAGTGTGCTTTTGATATTGAGATGGGCGTGTATGGCTGCAAAATGTTGGTTCCCACACTTCTTGTTCCAGGACAGCATAAGTTGATATTAGGGACCAATGTTATAAAACACATCCTGCATCAGTCCAAGCTATGTGAGTCATACTGGAAGACAGTGTCAGGCCCCTGCCCAACCAGAGACCGAGAAACTGAAACTTTCCTGTCAGTGCCCTCTGGTCTGACCCCCTGGAAGGGAGATGATGTGCCCGATAAGGTCGGTACAGTCAGGTGTAATTCTGACTGTGAATATCTCATCTGGGGAAAACCAAAAAAGACTGCTATTTCAACAGGCAGCACTGTCATCTCAGAGCCCAGATGATCCCGCTCAGCTCCCAGATGTGTTTTTGTCTCAAAGATTATAACTTCACTGTGGGGAGACAGGTGGGTCCCACTATGGGTCCCTGGGGAGTGGTCCCCACTTGTGGAGCTCTGCCCACCCAGTTACACATTTTTAAATTCACCAAGACTAACAGGCCTGGGAGGGGGTATTGCAGTTGTCTTTAAAAAACATTTTACTTGAATTCCACTCAGCCTTGGCTCTTTTAACAGTTTTGAAATCTTAACTTTTAAAATTGTGTGTGAAGACCCCATCTGCTGTATAATCATTTACCGTCCCCCCAATTCCAACTCCAGCAGTGGTTTCCTCACTGAATTCTCTGACCTACTGTCCTCTCTCGTGCTCAAATTTGATAAGGCCATTATAGCTGGTGACTTTAACATTCATATTGATAAAACTTCAAATCCATTTGCCACAGAGTTTTTAAACATTTGTAAATCTTTTAACCTTGTGCAGCACGTCTGAGGCCCTACACATAACCGTGGGCACACCCTGGACTTAGCTTTTACTCTGGATCTGTCTCTTAGTTTCCTGAATATGCATGATTTTGTCTCTGACCACAAATGTATTACTTTTGATACACATTTTATAACTGCTTCACCATCCAGGAAACGTATAATCCACTCTTGCATCTTTAATAATCAGTCAGCAGCCACATTCTGTAGCCATTTTTGTGGTCTGGCTAATTCTCCTCCTCACTTTCCCAACATTAATGATCAAATTAGCTAGTTTAATAATTTGTGTACATCAGCCCTTGATTTTTCTGCTCCATATACATCCAGGGCTGTCCCAGTTATTAATAAAACTCCCTGGATCAACAACAACATTAGACAACAAAGAAGGGAATATAGGAAGGCAGAGCGAAATTGGAAAAAGCACAAACTTGAAGTCCACCGCCTCTACATGAGGGAACTACTGTTTAAATTGAACCAACTATTAAAGATGTGCGAGCTGCCTACTTTTCTGATCTGATTGTTAGCAATAAACATAACCCAAGGTTTTTGTTTACTATCAACCAGCTTGTAACTCCATCTCCTCCTGCAAGATCGATGGTATAAGTTCTAATTTTCCCCTTAGTGTTCTTCAAAACCATACTCCCTCTCTTAGGTCCTAGCCTGCTTGCTATCATCAATTCCTCTCTCACATCAGGGTCCGTACCTGACCTCTTTAAAAGTGCCAGTGTTCAGCCACTTCTTAAAAAACCCTCTCTCAATCCAGACCAGTTAGAAAACTATAGACCTATCTCCAAACTTCCCTTTTTATCTAAAATACTTGAAAAGATTGTTTTGCGGCCCAGCTCCTGAAGCTGGTAGAAGGTCATAGAATCTTTGACAAATTCCAATCTGGTTTTCGCCAAAATCATAGCACCGAGACACCATTACTGAGAGTGTCTGATGACATCCTTATGTATGCTGACAAAGGTGAAAGCTCCATCCTTATTCTTCTTGATCTGACTGCAGCCTTTGATACCATCGATCATGCCATTTTACTGGATAGATTACAGAACTGGGTTGGCATTTCTGGTACAGCCTTAAATTGGTTTAATTCCTACTTGACTAATAGAGTCTTTAATGTCTGCATTAATAATCATGTTTCCTCTTCCGCTCCCCTGCTGTGTGGTGTCCCTCAGGGGTTGGTTCTTGGTCCAGTTCTGTTCTCCCTGTACATGCTTCCTCTGGGTCATTTGTTCAGCCGCTTCAATGACATGTCATACCACTGTTATGCCGATGATACACAGATCTACTTTTCTGCGAAACCCAATAATCTGACTCAACTGTGATCTCTCTCCATGAGTGTTTAGCTGCCACCAAAGACTGGATGTCTCTTAATTTTCTCCACTTAAATCCGGATAAAACTGAAATCATTTTAGTTGGCCCCGATAAATTTGTCACTGCAGTTGATCAGTTTATTGGACCACTACGCACTAATATCAAACCCACTGCTAAGAATCTGGGTATCATCTTCGACCAGCATATGACATTTGACCTTCATGTCACAAAACTTGTCCAGTCCTGTTTCCTGCAGCTACGAAATATAGCAAAAATCAAAAGATTCCTGTCCTCCAGTGATCTGGAACAATTAATTCAAACCTTAATTTTCTCCCGTCTAGATTACTGTAATTTCCTCTACACGTGCCTCAGTCAGACATCCTTAAATCGTTTACAGTTAGTACAAAATGCAGCCACCAGACTTTTAACTTGGACCAGCTGTCGGTCCCACATTACTCCTGTCCTTGCATCCCTTCATTGGCTTCCTGTAAAATTCTGATCAACTATAAGATCTTACTGATTACATATAAGGCACTTCATGACCTTGCTCCCAATTACATTTCAGATCTCCTTGTTCCTCATTCCACTCCTCGGCCACTCAGCTCCTCAAATCTCGGCCTTTTATCCGTTCCACGCTCTAACTGTAAATCTAAAGGTGACCGTGCCTTCGCTGTTCTAGTCCCAACATTGTGGAATAGTCTTCCCCAATCACTTAGATTCACTGAATCTGTGGACTGTTTTAAGCGGCTGCTGAGTGAAGGTCTATGTGGAACTAGTGAGAGCCTTGACTCTGAAAGCGAAAGTTCATCTGTGACTGTGGAAAATAAACAGGGCTTCTTACCTGATCCAGAGAATCTTGGCTCTGGGAGAAGAACCACTGAATGGATTACACAGTTGTCTGTGCCAAGTCTGTCAGAGGCAAATGTTACTGATATAACGCAGTGACTTGCATGACTTGTGACCCCCAAGATGCCTCAGTCTCACCCGAGGATCACATGACTGCCCAGTCTCTGACCTGTGATTCTGGCCCTGTGACTGCTGTGAACATTCCAGTACTTGTGAGACAGTCTGAAACAGCTTTCAGCACTGTGACGCAGACAGACAAGACATCAGACTTTCTGCAGCCTGTAGATCAGACCTCACATCATGTCTGTGGTCACAGACCATGTCTAGTTCAATGTTAAGGCTGTTTGCAAATCTATGTTCCAGGCTGTTACTGACTGAAACCTTGATCAGATAGCCTATGCTTTTTAATTTTTATTTGTATCGGTATAGTGTCCCGCAGTTTTTATTTTCTTATCTGTCATGGGCCTGCGCTACACTGGGTTAGGATGTTGTGGGGTGTACAAGGCACCCAATTGCCAGTTGCTGGATGGAGAGATAAGTGCTGCTCTCATACACTTTATCCCTATGGGATACATTTGTTGTTGGTTCTCTTTATCGTGATCTTGTGTAACAGTTAAAACTGCACTTTATTCATTCTTATTTTTAATATGTATATATAGATTTCATTTCGTATTTATTTCACTATTAATTTACTGTTATTCTGGTTTATTTCCTGTTAAAAATTAGTTTTCTGAATTTAGCTTGCTCCTCCCATCTCCATCCTCATAGTGTTGTTTTGCTTTGCTGAGGGAGCAGAGGTGCGGAAAAAGAGCCGAAGGCAATTAATGTCCTATATTGTCTTCTGAAGGAGCAAATAAATACTGAAAAACAGATCGTGAGTCATCCACTGTTTATGCCCTATCTATACTAGAATCTAGACTCCTAAGTATCTCCCACACGAAACGTCCTTCCACAAAAAAAATAAAATATATACATTAGCATTTTATATTCTCTCGTGAAAAATTTAAGATCTGTGAATTCTAAATGTATGTATTTACTAACAAAACCTACCTATTATTATTATTATTACATATTTTTATAAATGTTGCTTTGTTATTAGCTACCATAATCATAATCATAACAAAGTTTGGTGAGCTGTTAATCGTATTGGTCACTGTATTCCTTTTAATAAAACATGAGAAAACATTTGTGGAATGTGAATAACAATAATAATATAAGAGAAACAATATGAATATCAGTAACAATAGCCCTAATAATATTATACATTTACGAGTTAAAAACTGAACCCCCTTTTCCTTGAGGAACCTGGATGAGAGGCTGTGACGTCATACATCAGCTTGTGTGAGGACTGCTGTGTACCATCACGCACCAAGGTGAGTTTTAACAACGACAAACCCTGGTTCACAGCCAAACTCAGTCAGTTACGGTTGCAGAAGGAGCAAGTGTTCAGGAGTGGGGACAGGGACAGGTTTAAGGAGTCAAAGTACACGTTTAGCAAGGAGGTGAGAAAAGCTAAATGACAGTACTCTGAGAAACTTCAACATCAGTTCTCAGCCAACGACAGACAACCAACTACAAACCTAAAATCCCCCACTCCATCAACGACTTGCGCCTGGCAAACCATCTGAATGACTTTTACTGTTGCTTCGACAGACAAAGGAGCAGTCCTGACACCATCCCCCCCGTGACACCCCTCACCAGCCCCACCTCACCAGACCCTCCCCCCCAGCTCAGCAGGAGCCGGGGCCACTTCACAACCCCACACCCCTGTGAATCCCTCCTCCTCCACCACAGTGATGACTCCGCACCTCCAAGAGACGGACGTCAACAGGCTCTTTAAGAGGCAGAAATCCCACAAAGCAGCTGGACCAGACTCTGTCTCTCCATCCACCCTGAAACACTAGCTGTCTCCGGTGATCACGGACATCTTCAACACCTCATTGGAGATATGTCATGTGCCAGCCTGCTTCAAAACATCTACCATCATCCCTGTCCCCAATAAAGCAAGGACCACAGGACTCAATGACTACAGACCCGTTGCCCTCACCTCTGTGGTCATGAAGTCTTTTGAGCGCCTTGTGCTTTCCAGCCTCAAAGCCATTACGGATCCACTCCTGGACCCTCTGCAGTTCACCTACAGAGCCAACAGGTCTGTAGACGATGCAGTAAACATGGCCCTGCACTTCACCCTCCAGCATCTGGACTCCCCGGGAACCTATGCCAGGATCCTGTTCGTGGATTTCAGCTCTGCTTTTAACACCATCATCCCAGCTCTGTTAAAGGACAAGCTCTCCCAGCTCACTGTGCCTGACTCCACCTGCAGGTGGATCACAGACTTCTTGTCTGACAGGAAACAGCACGTGAAGCTGGGGAAAAATGTCTCTGACTCCCAGACCATCAGCACAGGATCCCCCCAAGGCTGCGTTCTTTTTCCTCTGCTCTTCTCCCTGTACACCAACAGCTGCACCTCCAGTCACCAGTCTGTCAGGCTCCTGAAGTTTGCAGATGACACCTCCCTCATTGGGCTCATCTCTACTGGAGATGAGTCCACCTACAGATGGGAGATTGACCATCTGGTGACCTGGTGCAGCCAGAACAACCTAGAGCAAAAACAGTGGAGATGGTTGTGGACTTCAGGAGGAACCCAGCCCCACCCACCCCCATCATGCTGTGTGACTCCCCAGTTGACTCTGTGGAGTCCTTCCGCTTCCTGGGTACCATCATTACCCAGGACCTCAAGTGGGAGCTGAACATCAGCAGAGGATGTACTTCCTGTGGCAGCTGGGGAAGTTCAACCTGCCAAAGACAATGATGGTGCACTTCTACACCGCCATCATCGAGTCCATCCTCACCTCATCCATCACCATCTGGTACGCTGCTGCCACTGCCAAGGACAAGGGCAGACAGCAGCGTATCATTCGATCAGCTGAGAAGGTGATCGGCTGCAATCTGCCATCCCTCCAGGACCTGTACGACTCTAGGACCCTGAGGCGTGCAGGTAGGATTGTGGCTGACCCCTCCCACCCGGTCAGAAACTCTTTCAATCACTCCCCTCTGGCAGGAGGCTGCGGTCCATCAGGACCAAAACCTCTCACCACAAACAGTTTCTTTCCGTCTGCAGCTGGCCTCATTAACAAGGCCCGGATTCCCCACTGTCACTGACTCTTATACCCACCCTGTATAGTATAGATATAGTCTTATCTTTTCTTATCTTTCTTATCTTTATTTATTTATATTTTTAAAAGTACTTTATTCTTGTGTGATTTTTGTGTGATTTGTATATTTTTGTGTGATTGTATATTTTAAGCACCATTGCACCAAGACAAATTCCTCGTATGTGTAAAAACCTCCCTCGCAATAAATCTGATTCTGATTTGTCCCACCTCGAGTGGAAGTTAAAGGCACTCAAACACCTCCACAGCAGCCAAGCCTTTAGGAGGCTAGAAGGAACAACAGCTACTTTGGCTGAAATGGTGAAAAAAGTCTCTGGAACTGGATCATCTCCAACTGTTCTCCAAGATTAAATTGATTGATTGAACATAAAGAATTCTGACATAGGGGTTATTTTTCTCAAGGTGTGTGGAGACTGAGGTGAAGGTAGTGGAGATGGCATACTTGATGGATCTGTGCAAACGGGTGAGGGTCCAGGCTGGCAGGGATGTTGCTCTTTATGTGCTGGGGAAGCTTTTATGATTGTTGCATCATTGAGTTACGTGAATTGTCAGCTGTGAAATTATATAGATTCACTTGTTCTGTATTCTATATTCTGGTTAAAATGTATGTGAGAAAACATTTGTGCAATCTTAACAATAATATTAATAACAGTAACAATATGAATACCAATAGCAATACCCCTAATAATAATAATAATGATTTTATGAGTTAAAAACTGAACCCTAAAACACAGTTCCCTGAAGAAACTTTTTAAAGGTTCTTCTACATCTAAGGGGGGAATTTGAAGATTGAACAGAAAGTTACTTGTAGCAACTGAAAGACTGTTCATAACTTAGATACAAACCAACACTGATCTAGATATGCATTTACTTTATTTTGACTTGTTAATTATAGTATACACTTTAATTAAAAACACACAATATTGTTATCATTAAAGCATCCATGTTTTACATATTATAGAATTATTAGTTCAATTAATCAGCAATCAAAAGCATCAGCCAGCAACACAGAGCAACACCTTATTGAGGATAAAAATATATATAAAATAATATATATACAGACAGGTTTTGAATAGTAGTTTACATTTTACCAAAGACAATGCTTTTCCATAAGCCACGTATTTTAGACATTTGCAGTCCATACAGTACAGGGTTAAAGAGTGGTTGACAAGTGAGAAAGTATAATGACAAAAAAATGCGCAACATGTTCGGTACACTGTTCATAATAAATCTGGCCTGCACAATTTCAAAGAAACTACCAAAAGTAAAGTTCAGGAGAGAAGCAAGGTGAGGTGTGCAGGTACTGACAGCTTTTTGTCTGGTCTGTTTGGAACCAGAAAAACAAACTTTAAAAATCTTTACATAAGGGTAAAAGATTAAAATTACAACACCAAGTAATATGGTAAACACGTAAACAATTCCATAGATGTTAATGATTGTTGTGTCAGAACATGCCAGTTTGACAATAGAGTAGTTGTTACAGTAAACTTTGTCTATAATGTTCCCACACAGCTGTAAAGAGGCACTCAGAGAGATCATGACAACAATAGCAAGAAAAGGAAATAACCATGATATAGCAATAAGAATGGCAACCTTATTAGATGTCATACGTGTGTTATATTGTAAAGGATAACAGATAGCGAGATATCTGTCATAAGACATGACAGCTAAGTTAGTAAATTCAATATTTGCATACGAGTACAAACAGAAAATCTGCAGGAAACAAAATGAAGTAGAAACAGTGTGAATGTCAGAGAGAATCTGAATCAGAAGCATTGGAAACAACCCTGTACTACCAAACAGTTCAATTACAAACAGGCTGCACAGAAATATGTACATAGGTTCATGTAAGCTTCTGTTCATACAGATAATCACAATGAGCAAAAGATTGGCACAAACAATTAAAATATATAATAACATAACAATCATGAAAAATAAATATCTGGAAATCCCGATGTCAAAGTAGGCAGAAAGTGTGAAATATGAAATCTGTGTAGAGTTAACCATGATCCTCCAGTTAATATCCGTACATATTACTGTAATTTTTTTTCAGGTTTTGCTATATGTTTGTCAAATTTCACACTGTCAACAATCTAACAATATTCACTCTGCTAGCAGTTAAGAAATTACTTTCAATAAACAAATGAAAATGACAATTTAACTAAACTTACCTACTCTATTATTGAAAGTCAGTATAAGCCATGCTCAGAGATCACAGAACACAATTTATGGCACTGTGTGAGTCCTAAGAACTATCCGCTGATGTAGTCAGTCCCTACTCACTGAGATGAAACTCTGCTTCTTCTTCTTTTAAACTTTTCATAGCAACAGTCATGACGTAAGACTGTTGTCAGCAATACAAGGGAGAGTTCAAGCTACTAACAATTAGTAATATTGAAAAGATAGGTCAGTAGAAACAAATATAAAGAGATTTATTTTGTCCCCATTTATAAATTACATGACATATGAGTTAAAAATGCAGTTTATAAATTCTTATGTTCAATGTGTATTTGTGAATTATACTTAATTTATGGAGTGTTTGTGAATTTCATCTCATTATTACGACAGAGTATTAGGGCCAGACTAAGAGATAAAATATATTTTTTTGGGGGGGAATTATGAGAATAAAGTCATAATATTATGAGATTAAAGTCAAAATATTAGGTCTACGAGAATAAAGTTGTAATATTACGAGAAAAAAGCCGCAATGTTACGAGACTAAACTTGTAATAATAGCAATAATAATACGAGAAAAAAAGTTGTTTTAATGGGAAAAAATGCTTCGATAAGAGTTATCAAGATCTGACGTGACCAGCTCAACCAAACAGCAGCCTCAGCCTGAGCCCAGCAGCCGCTGTTTGTCTCAGTCGTACCGTACAGTCAACAGGTAAGCTAACGTATTGATCATTTCGGCGTTAAACAGTTTTGCTGGCTAAGCAATTAGTTCCCATTAAATTACTACTTTATTCCCGTAATATTATGACTTTATTCTCTCAATATTATGACTTTTTTCTCATTATATTACGACTTTATTCTTGTAATATTACGTCATTTTTCTCGTAATGTTACGACTTTATTCTCGCAATATTACAATAAATTTCTTGTAATATTACAAATTTTTTCTCGTAATGTTATGACTTTATTCTCTTAGACCTAATATTATTACTTTATTCTCATAATATTATGACTTTATTCTTGTGATTTCCTGCCCTAATACTCCATCGTACATTATGTTTTTTTCACCAACTTTTATTTTGGTTTATTTCCTGTGGAAATTAGTTTTCTAAACCTCGGACACACTTACCTCCCAGACTTCCGTAGGTCCTCCCATCTTCCCCTCATAGTGTTCTTTTGCATTGCTGAGGGAGCAGAGGTGCGGAAAATTAATGTGCTATATTGTCTTCTGGAGGAGCAAATAAATGCTGGTTCAGTACAGTTCTATGAGTTGGCCTCTATTCATTCCCTATCCACAACTGTTAAACTGGTGCCGTCACCCTTTGGATCTTCAGATCAGCCTGATGCTAATTGCTGTGGATGCTGTGCTGCCGCTGAACTACGAATCAAGATTATTGTGTGGTCAGATATATAAGTGACTCTGGATGTAGGTATAATGTTGTATATTGTTTATCCTCACTAAATTAGTAACTTAAATACTGTTATATATCATTTTTGTTGCTCAAAATAGCTTGCTTTTCTGCTCCACTTTCTTTCAGTATAAATTTAGTCAACACAAGAACATTTGATAGTTCAAGTAACAATGGATAGGTTTACAGACATGACCCACCACACGTGCCAGTTCATGTTAAATCTGATAAAAGATTCCAGACATTCAGAGGGTTAGGGTTTTAGTTTGAGAAAGTTAGATCTGTTTTGTTTGTTACTTTGGCCTTGTTTTACCCTGAAGTTTGTTCCTGGTTTTTGTTGCACTATTTCCATGTGTTGTAAATAAATCACTTCACTTGATTGTTAAATCCATGTTTGTTGTTGGTTTGGGGATCGGGATAGTATTATTGGTTTATTTTCTTCTTACATACATATGTTGTGATCCTTCACCCTAGACAGGGGTGTAACAATACTTGTTGTTCCAGGACAACATTTGTATAGCGCCAATTCATAACAGAAGTTATCTCAGGACACTTTTCAAATAGAGCAGGTCTAGACCGAACTCTAGCAGGTCTAGACCGAACAACAAGAGACTGAGAAACTGAACATTTCCTGTCAGTGCTCTCTGGTCTGACCCCCTGTGCTTACTCGGCTATGCCACCTACTGCTGATGCAAACTCTGCTGGAAACAAGCTCAAGTCAGTTGGACTAAGTGAAGTGTCAGCTGAATGTAAGAAGAGGGTGGCTGATCTTGTTTTACTGTATAAGGACGTCTTTTCACACCACCGTTTTGACTGTGGGGAGGCGAAGTGCTTTGTACACCGCATAGACCTGTCAGACAGCAGACCATTCAGACTCCCATACATGAAGGTGACCCCTGGCCAGTGCCAAAACTTCCACTCAGGTAATCAGTAATCGGGAAATCATTAGAAAATCAACCAGTGAATACACATCACCACTGGTGCTTGTGTGGAAAAGAAATTGGAGATCTCTGCATTTGTACAGACTTTTGCTGGTTGAATAAGAGGACCCTGGAGGAAGCTCATCCTCTTCCCCATCAGGCAGATTGTTTGGCAGCACTGGAAGGAAACTGTCTCTTCAGCATGATGGATTTGACCTCCGGGCTCTTCAACATGCCACTCCATGAGGATGACATGAAGTACTCTTCCTGTGCTTCATGTGCATGATGACCAGCATCTTTGGGGACCAAAACTATTTGAGTCTGCTGTGCTACTTGGAGGATTTGTTGGTGTTTGCACCGGATGAAGAGACTGCCTTGCTGCATGTGAAGATGGTGGACAGGCTGCGCAACTACAACTTGAACTACCCAGCTCACCATTTGGAGTTTCTGGCTTAAAAATGGTCAGTGTGTGACATATGAACAAGGAGATGCACACTTACAGGATACACGAAACAGTCACTGGACAGAAGAAAGTGATCCACAGGATTCTGATACTGACCAATTTTCTTCCTGTGGGGGACACAAATGTCTGACCTTGCCTCGTCCATGCCAGAGAGAGAGTGAAGGTCTATGTGGAACTAGTGAGAGCCTTGACTCTGAAAGCGACAGAAGTTCATCTGTGACTGTGGAAAAGAAACAGGGCTTCATTCCTGATCCAGAGAATCTTGGCTCTGGGAGAAGAACCACAGATTTAACAGTTTTGAAATCTTAACTTTTAAGATTGTGCGTGAAGACCCCATCTGCTTTATAATAATTTACCCTCCCCCCAATTCCAACTCCAGCAGTGGTTTCCTCACTGAATTCTCTGACCTACTGTCCTCTCTCGTGCTCAAATTTGATAAGGCCATTATAGCTGGTGACTTTAACATTCATATTGATAAAACTTCAAATCCATTTGCCACAGAGTTTTTAAACATTTGTAAATCTTTTAACCTTGTGCAGCAGGTCTCAGGCCCTACACATAACCGTGGGCACACCCTTGACTCTGGATCTGTCTCTCAGTTCCCTGAATATGCATGATTTTGTCTCTGACCACAAATGTATTACTTTTGATACACATTTTATAACTGCTTCACCATCCAGGAAACATATAATCCACTCTCACATCTTTAATAATCAGTCAGCAGCCACATTCTGTAGCCATTTTTGTGGTCTGGCTAATTCTCCTCCTCACTTTCCCAACATTAATGATCAAATTAGCTAGTTTAATAATTTGTGTACATCAGCCCTTGATTTTTCTGCTCCATATACATCCAGGGCTGTCCAAGTTATTAATAAAACTCCCTGGATGAACAACAACAGTAGACAACAAAGAAGGGAATATAGGAAGTCAGAGCGAAATTGGAAAAAGCACAAACTTGAAGTCCACCGCCTCTACATGAGGGAACTACTGTTTAAATTGAACCAACTATGAGAGATGCGCGAGCTGCCTACTTTTCTGATCTGATTGTTAGCAATAAACATAACCCAAGGTTTTTGTTTACTATCAACCAGCTTGTAACTCCATCTCCTCCTTTTTTCATTTGCAAGATCGATGGTCTAAGGTCTCATTTCCCTCTCACTGTTCTTCCCCCTGTAACATTCAATCGTCCTACTTTACTGTCTGATTTTGCTCCTATCTCTCTACAGATCCTTTCAAACACTGTCGATAACATGCATCCCTCCTCCAGTCCCTGTGACATAGTTTCTACAACATTTTTAAAAACTTTAAATTGCCAGTGTTCAGCCACTTTTTAAAAAACCCTCTCTCAATCCAGACCAGTTAGAAAACTATAGACCTATCTCCAAACTTCCCTTTTTATCTAAAATACTTGAAAAGATTGTTGCAGACCAGCTCCTGAAACTGGTAGAAGGTCATAGAATCTTTGACAAATTCCAATCTGGTTTTCGCCAAAATCATAGCACCAAGACACCATTACTGAGAGTGTCTGATGACATCCTTATGCATGCTGACAAAGGTGAAAGCTCCATCCTTATTCTTCTTGATCTGACTGCAGCCTTTGATACCATCGATCATGCCATTTTACTGGATAGATTACAGAACTGGGTTGGCATTTCTGGTACAGCCTTAAATTGGTTTAATTCCTACTTGACTAATAGAGTCTTTAATGTCTGCATTAATAATCATGTTTCCTCTTCCGCTCCCCTGCTGTGTGGTGTCCCTCAGGGGTTGGTTCTTGGTCCAGTTCTGTTCTCCCTGTACATGCTTCCTCTGGGTCATTTGTTCAGCCGCTTCCATGACATGTCATACCACTGTTTTGCGGATGATACACATGTAGTGAACCATAGTGAGGTGTTGTGAACGCAACCCCCCATGAGCTTCTTCTATAATAAAATTATTACTATTAGAGAGATAATTAATCACCAACTGCCATCAACAGCTATCAGTGGCTCTCCAAGTCCAGGGACTTTTGCTAATGTAAACTTAGATATATATTTAGACTGTTTTTCTGCTATCGATCTTCATCAGTTATGCTGACTGACTTAATGTTTTAAAGAGTTCGGTCTAGACCTGCTCTATTTGAAAAGTGTCCTGAGATAACTTCTGTTATGAATTGGCGCTATACAAATAAAATTTAATTGAATTGAATTGAATCAGTTAACTTCAATAATTTCTTCATCGAAGCCATCAACCTGTCTATTAGACCCGATCCCAACTAGGTTGCTTAAAGAAGTTGTTCCCTTAATTGGCACTTCTTTACTGGATATGATTAATCTTTCTTTATTATCAGGATATGTACCACAGTCCTTTAAAGTAGCTGTAATTGTATGTAAAAAGCCCACTCTTGACCCAGGGGTTTTAGCCAACTATAGACCGATTTCTAACTTCCCCTTCCTCTCTAAGATTCTGGAGAAAGTAGTCGCCAAAGAGTTATGTGACTTTCTACATAACAATAGTTTATTTGAAGATTTTTAGTCAGGATTTAGAGTTCATGATAGCACAGAGACAGCTCTGGTTAAAGTTAATAATGACCTTCTGATTGCTTCTGACAATGGACTTGTCTCTGTA